CTCAAGCTCTATATTCTTTTGCTCTAGTTCCTCAACTCTAGCATCGCGCTTTGTATTCTCTTCTATAACCTGCTTTAACCCCACGTTCTCAGCCTCGATCTCAGAGTACTTTTTTCTAAGCTCAGAAATCTCAGCCAAAAGCTTCGAATTTAATTCTTTCAAGGAATCGATTTTGGATTCTGTATTTGCCATTTTTTTATATAGAATACAAATATGTTTAATTCTTTATAAATTCATGTGATAAAATTTCAACGAAAAATGTCAAGAAAAAAATAACCACCAAGTAACTATAAATTCTGCATTTAAATGTTATTTCTTATACCGTGCTGGCAAACCTTTCTTTGTGCTCTCTACATCTTTTAATGCATGACTATAGATAACAAGGCAAACAACATAAGCAAAACGTACATGTAAAACACTTTCACAAGAATTTGAAAAGCAGTTGACGCATGATCAGATAAAAAAAGAACTCTGCGAAGAAAATTGGATTGTTCTACATAAAAGAGAAGAAATAAGCTAGATTAATGCACCAAGTTTTCAACCTGTTTCTTATTTCCGAATATATTACCCACCAACATATACACCGCTACAATAATATTGAGAAATTTGTTAGTTTACATTCAATACTACATCTTGTAATTTCCATAAGTCCAAATAAAACCCATTAATTGCTCTAACAGGGACGCCACTAGGAGAACCGCTGAAAAGTTCAACAGCAGGAATATGTAATTGATAATTTGTAATACCAGGAGCGTTGCAAGTAGTTTCTGTAAACCCGACACCAGTAATTTTAACAGATGGAACGCCCACGTCATTTAAAAGAAAATCCATTGTACTATGATGGAGAGGCGCCGTTCCAAAAGATATTACAACGTCTGGCATCATTTTATTTTGGTTTGTACGTAGGTAGTGCAGTGCAAGCATTGCCCTTGTACCGTCCTGATGAATGGGAAACAGTTTGATTGCAAGGTAAATTTGAATAGTCGTTCGTGGAGAAAAATAATATGTCGAAAGACTATGTAAACTAGGAAGAGATTCGCTGTTGCCAACTTCAACAACCATTGTTGGATATGCTCCCCCACTTGAGTTAGGTTGCTGACCAGCTGGGGATGGAGGAAGGTCTGGTGGTCGGATGGTAGCATCAGCAGTTAAATAACTATTTTGAGATACAATAAGATCCTCTCGATTCCAGGTACGGATCAAGAAAGAGATCATGTCCGATACCTTTCCATGCTCCGAGAGAGGCACTTCATAAGCTATGACTTTTCCATCGATGAAACGAATGCTGACAGGAAGCTTTCGCTCAGTTTTACAAAACTTGATGTAGGCTTCGAGTGTCACATTTTCAGCGATAATTATTGGCTCCATATCCTCACTCGCCTCCATTTTTTCATCTTGTTGAACCGCAAGTAAGCAATCCCTGGCTCGGATAAGGAGCTCTTTGCGCAACTGAAGCTGAGTCGTCGGCATATCAGATAAAGTTGAGGCAGTTGTTACAGTAGAACACGGGTAAGATATGGATGTCCCGAAGTAGATGAGTACATTTTTTGAAGGGATAAATTGTGTAAAAGAAAAAACTCAGAAGCAGTTCTTAAATACTTCCAGTGAAATCCCATTTATCATTACGTACTGTAATAGCGGTCACAAAATCATCATAATAATTATGTAATAACATCTGATCGCCGATTCCGAGAACGAGCAATTTTTACAAAGTAACGGTAAAGTCGTTTATTTTATATATATATATGAGAAAGGGCCGGCAGCTAATTAAAATGAAAGAAAAAAATAATTGAGTAGCAGGATGTTTCAAGGGAGGAAATTTGCCGAGCCCTAACCCATATGATAGCAGTTCCTTTCCCGCTACTCACTACGTATTATTTGTTTTGCTATCGATCCAAGCACCTATCTTATCTAAATTACTACCTCTTAAATCATTGGTTTTACGATAATCGAATCTTTACCAATTTTTTTCACCCCAATATTAAGAAGATCAACCATCACTACATTACACATATCATCCCGCCTTCTCGCATATATGCTCGAAGCCAGAGAAAAAGTTAACAATTACATAGCCTTCACCTGGTACAATATATTGTCGTCTATTTATCTTTTTCCGAACATGAGAGGAAAAAGGAATTCTGAAGTCATATCTGAAAATGAACGATGGCTGGATCCAGAAGAGGCTTCGGATTGATTTTCATCACTTTGTTGGTCGGATGAGTCGCTGTCTTGGAGTTCCACTTCCTCGGTGGGTTCGATTTTATTTCTAGAGAAATGTCACTTCGTACCTGGACGACAGCATAATATCGATTAATCTCGTTTTGGAGCGTTGAGATAGATCCATTAATTGATTCGAATTCCGTTGCGACTCTACTTAAATTATTATGGTAGGTTTGAAGGATGCGTTCAATTTCATCAAGTCTCTTTGGACCTCTGCTGTTAATTTCTCGTCACGTGAAGTAAGCTCAGCGTTAAATTTGGCACGGTATTCGGTAAGCTCGGTTACGAATCTGGCATCACGATCAGCAAGTTCGCTGGTGAGTCGGGCATCGCGATTTACAAGAATTTCATTAATGGTATCACGTGTAGAAAGGTCGGAATTATGCTTGGCATCGATGTCTTGCTTAGTGTTACGTGAAAAATAAAACGTGGCGCCGACAAGTAAGTACATAGAGATTTTCTCTACGAACATCAATAGGCCTGCGAAATCCAAAAATGGAGCGATTCCCGAAACAACGAGCGATGACATCTATAAGGGGAAATTGGTCTGTTAGCATATACAGTATACACGAGTGTGGGTGTATCACAGCGTATAAACAAAAAATGGATGTCGACATAAGTTAACAGAAATTCCTATTTTTCTGGCTTCGAGAGATGTAATCACGAAAAGGTGGGGATATATACAGTATATAATTTTTCTGTCCTAATTACCCCATCACTATATTAAATTTTTGGTTAGACTTTTGGTTATACTTTTCGTTAGATTTAATAATCGCTATGCAATTTGACATGCAAAAGAAATATAAAGACTATAAAACAAATATATAATTTAACCTAATTTTATTAGATTTCAATAACAAGTAGGATAGCATAAAGATAAATTCTAACCAAAATATAACAAAAATGTGATCTAAAACAAAAATCACATCCCATCGTTATATAAAATTTGGTTAGACTTTTTTCATTAGATTTAATAATTACTATACAATTTGATATGCAAAAGAAATATAAAGACTATAAAACGAATATATAATTTAATTTAATTTCATTAGATTTCAATAACAAGTAGGATAGCATAAAAATAAAATCTAATCAAAATATATCAAAAATGTGGTCTAAAATAAAAATCACGCCCCACCATTAGACTTAAATATAACCAAAAAAATGCTATCAAATTTGATCTTCTCAACATACCAGCACACTAATTCCAATAGGGGTTTTCCCCAAAACCCTAAATTGGCATTGTGTAAATCAGAAAACTAATTAACAAAGCTCTGTTTATTGCTTATATTAGGTCCACAATCTCAATCTTCTTAAATATTGGCAAGTTGCTCAACTACTGAAGCATGGGTTCAACTTTTTTGTAGACTCATCTCTGAAAAAAGTTGACTACCAAAAACTCTACCAAACCTGCAAAGCAATGATTCAAAAAAACCTATTTGAATTTCAAAAGATGTTTCTATATCAATTGTAATAAGACTCTTCAAAGCTATTCCAATTACAAAGGTCAATGACACTCGTGAATTCACAAGTAGTTTTAAAGCCTTCTACAACTTTGACTTGTTGTCTACTTTATACTTTGCAAAAAGATCAGATTTTTCAGCTGACCCTCTAGAACTTAACAGAAAAACAGAACACTTTTTTACACTTATAAAAAGAAATGAACTTGTGGATCTCAAATTCTAAGTTGAAAAGCTCAGAGAATTCTACTATATGCCAAGCAAACTTTTTGACTTATATTTTGACCTTTTCCACTCAAGCTTTAACTTTCATTCATATACAAAAACAGATCAATATATATCACTAAACACTTTCCTATTGATAATAGCATCAATGATTTCAAAAAAGAAGTTCAACTTTTTAGGATAACATTATGCAGTAAAACAACTTCTATTGGATTATATTAAAATGAAACACTTATTTTCACCCTTTTACTAATATAGTAAAAACAACTTTATCTTTTTGCCAGTTATCACTTAAAAAAAGGCTAAACTTATCAAAGACTTGAAACATAAATTCTTTGTCAAATTATCTCTTGAATCAGAATGAATTAATGATAATCTCATTCAGTTCAATAAATCCAAATTACCAAATAAGTTCACCATAGTTGAAGCAGAATTAGATATCCCCAAAGACCAAATGAATAGAAAAACATCTGATTTCAAACAAACTATTATAAAAATAAAAAACAAATCAAAAGAATGAATTATCCACTATTATTAGACTTACCAAACCTTACTAAAGCCATCAAACACCTTTTGAAAACTGATGCCAATATTACACTACCTTTTACAGATAATCTTTATCTAAATGACAATATCAAAACTCCGAACAAATTCTTTCACTTTATTAGACTTCCTCCCAAATTCATAATTGAATCCAAGTTATCTGAATTAGTGATAACTCTTTTCTTCAAACTAATTTAATGATAAATATAAACTAGTTCAACTTTCAACTTTTTTTTAACAAACCCAACACCTCTCTAAAGAATCTTATTAATATTATAATCCTTAACATAAGAGGACTCACACAAAAAGCAAAACTTGGCAAACTTACCAAAGCAATAAAAAGTGAAAAAAGTATTTTGTGTATAATAGAAACAAAAGCTTTCTTATCAAATCTCTTATCAAAAAAATTGAACAACAATATAATTATTTCAAGCCAATCAAGTAACTCAATAACCAATGATACCTATATACTGTAATTATGACCAAAGCCATAGCTATACACATATTAAAGAGACCTGTGGGTCTATAGTGTAGTGGTTAACACTCCACAGGTCAAATCACAAGATACCGGTTCAATTCCAGGTGAAGG